CAATGCATTAGTGTTCCAATTTTCCCACATCTCCTCCAACATTTATCATTTTCCTGTTTTGTCATGTTGGCCAATCTGATAGATGTGATTTGGTACTTCAGAGTAGTTTCAATTTGCATTTCTTTAATCAACAGTGATTTAGAGCATTTTTTATATGACTGTAGATGCCTTTAATTCATCTGAGCACTGCCTACTTATATCCTTTGACCATTTATCAATTGGGGAATGACATGTATTCTTATAAATTTGACTTAATTCTCTATATATTTTAGAAATGAGGTCCTTATCAGAGGTCTTATCAGAGACACTGCTTATAAAAATTCTTTCCCAGTTTTCTAATCTTGGTTGCATTGGCTTTGGGTTTTTTTTTTTTTTTTTTTTTTAGTTTTTAGGGAATTGGGGTTAAGTGACTTGCCCAGGGTCACACAGCTAGTAAGTGTCAAGTGTTTGGTCTGAGACCGGATTTGAACTCAGGTCCTCCTGACTTCAGGGCCAGTGGCTCTATCTACTGCGCCACCTAGCTGCCCCCCCTCATTGGCTTTGTTTTTGCAAAACCTTTTCAATTTAGTGTAATCAGAATTATTCATTTTGCATTTCATAATGTTCTCTATCTCCTGTTTGATCATGAATTCTTCTGTTCTCCATAAATCTGATAGATAAACTATTCCTTGCTCTGCCAGTTTACTTATAGTATCAGCCTTTATATCTAACTCATGAACTCATTTTGACTTTATTTTGGTATATGGTGTGAGATTTGGGTCTATGCCCACCCAGTTTCTGCCATGCTCTTTTCCAGTTTTCCCAGCAATTTTTGTCAAATAGTGAGTTCTTATCCCAGAAACTGGGGTCTTTGGGTTTATGAAATAGTAGATTACTGCAGTCATTGACTACTGTGTCTTCCATACCTAACCTATTCCACTGATCCACCACTCTATTTCTTAGCCAGTACCAAGTAGTTTTGATGATTGCTGCTTTATAATACAATTTAAGATCTGGAACAGCTAAGCCACCTTCCCCTGCATTTCTTTTCATTAGTTACCTTGATATTCTGGACCTTTTGTTATTCCAAATGAATCTTGTTATTATTTTTTCTAGCTCTAGAAAAATTTTTAAAGGAAAAAAGAAATTGAGGCTCAAAATATGGTTGTAGGTCATATTGCCCTGTGACCATCTTTTTTTTTGGGGGGGGAAAGAAACCAAGGTTCAAACCCAGATCTCCACTATACCATGATATCCCTCTGTATTTAGAACTGAGAATATTATAACTGGAGAGATGAATATAGAATGTAGAAAGTTATCACAGAACATGACTTCAAAATACAATATTAGAACTTAAAGGGACCTAACATAGAATACTTAGGCAACTCAGTGGCTCAGTGGATAGAGCACAGAGCCTAGAATCTGGAAGACCTGAGTTCAAATGTAGCCTCAGACACTTCCTAGCTCTGTGACCTTGGACAAGTCACTTAACCTCTATTTGTCTTAACCGATTGCGAAGGAAATGACAAACCACTCCAGTATCTTTGCCAAGAAAACCCCATGTACAGTTTTGGCATGCTACAGTCCACAGGGTCATAAAGAGTCAGACACAACTGAATGACCAAGAATAACAAAGATTTAGAAAATGTCTTAGAACTTAGAAAGTTAGAGCTAAATGGGAACTTGGAGCATAGAATATAATCCTTTCCAGCTGACATTCTTATAGTCCCACAGACTTTAGAGATGAAAGACAATAGGTACCAAATAATAATGAATAAAGTGCCTTCATAGGATCATCGGTTTAGAACTGAACCTTAGAGTCACAGCCTCTCATTTTATAGATGAAAAAGTTTGCAAAATATTTATACATATATACATATATACACATACATATATATGTATATATATATGTATATATATGTGTATATATATGTATATACACATAAAATCTCATCTCATTTAAGTCTCACAAAAACCTTGTGATAAATATAGGCTATTAGATGTTGTCCTCATTTTACATACGAGGAAACTGAGGTTTATACAGGTTAAGTAACTTGATATCTAATAAGTGCCAGAGGTAGAACTGGAAGCCAGTTCTGACTCCAAATCCAGCACTGACCATTAGGCAACACTGCCTCATGTTAGATCAGTGAGTCCCAGTAGTAGCTCACAGGAGGGAGAGATGTGCACGTGCTGGAGGAATAAGGGAGGGAATCATAAAGCAGACGTGACTTGATTCGAACCTTGCGACAAAGGGAGAGAAAATACCAACAGAGAAAAAAGGGGAAAATAACACAAGGTAAAATCTACCAAGTATCATATACTATCTGGCACAGCCAGCCTGTCAGAATTGTCAGCACTCAGAGGAGTAAGCAGAGAGGTGGCATAGGATAGTGGCCAGAATGCTGGATTTGGAAGATAATCAGTGTTAAAAATCTACATTTGCAACCCTGAGCAGATCCCCTCCCCTTCTGAGCATCAGTCTCCTTATCTGTAAAATAAGAGCATTAGTTTAAGGATTTTTAACTTTTTTGTGTTCTGGACCCCTTTGGTCATCAGTCTGATGAAACCTATGCACCCCTTCTCAAAATAATTTTTGAAATGTATGAGAAAAAATGCATAGGACTACAAAGAAACAAATTATATTGAAAGAGTTATTTATTTTTTTTAAACACACAAGTTCATGGACCCCAGGTTGATATGCCTTAGCCACTAGATGATCTCTGCTTTCCCTTTCAACTCCATGAATGAGATCACAAGGCACTGGAATGGTCCAAAAGGTTTCCTGAAGAAAGGGAACCTGGTCACACATGGTTAGATGACTTAGAGCCCACCCCCTTCCCCTCTTTCCCTAACTCATCCCAAGGGAACTAATCATGGGATTCTTAGTTTCCATTCCCTTTCATCTCCCTCGCCCACAGAGGTCAGCAGGCAACATCAGTTGGCTTTTGGGTGTAGTCATGGACCTGTCAGCTCTTCCATTTGAGGTTAATTGGTTCACTCCAAAGGCTGCCTTTTTCCACCTCTAAGTTTACCCCTGCACGTGGCTGAAATAGTTTAAACTCAAAACCAGAGATGGAAAAACACAACACATTGCAGTTGTAGGCTCAGTTCCTGACTTTTTGCTGTGTTTTGCTGTTGTTTTTTCCCTCAAACTGGCATGTTAGACATACTGGACTTTGACCATTGTAAATGTTTGGGGACTAGACATTACTAAGTGGAATAATACAAGATTTTGTAAGAGGAGTTTTGTTTTTCTGAAAAGTTCAAAACTACCTTCTTTAAAGAAATGATTGTGTAGCTGTCTGAATTCCCTGTCAATTATGAGATGATGATAATAACAGCTCTCATTTCTGTCTTGTTTTACAATTGCAAACTGCTTTCTTCACAAAGATCCTGTGAGTTAGATAGTATAAGGATTATATTGCCATTTGACGGGAAAGAATGCTGAGCCAAAGAGCAGAAGTCTGACAAATCCAGGGCCACACAGATCGGGCTTCAGACAGGCGTAGAATCCAGGCCTTCTGCCTACCAGGGTTGTTATCTTGGGCTTTGGGGAAAAGCAAACCCTCATATTACTTTTAATCCTCTTTATAACACTTTGGGATTTAATAGTATTTTCCTTACACTGGTAATTTGTGAGCAATCTTTTGTGTGTAAATAATTTCTTGGAAATCCCTTACAGTTCCTCAAGGCATTTGCTTGGGAGGGTCAATGACACTCTTATGTTGTAGTGGACAGTGTCCAAGGTCTAGAAGTTTGGGGACTGGGGTTCTGGTTTTGCCTTAATTGTGTGACCTCAGATAAGTCATTTCTCTTCTTCTAATCTCACTTTTGTCATCTGTAATGTGAAAAGGTTGGAGTCTTAACCATGCACTTAAGCCTGTGAATGTATTTTTAAAATATTTTGATAACTGTATTTCAGTATAATTGGTTTCCTTTGTAATCCTGTGTATTTTATTTTATGCATTTAAGAGCAATAGTCTAAGAAAGGGTCCTTAGACTTCACTAGACTTCCAAAGGGGTCCGGGATGCAAAAAAGGTTAAGAACCTTTGATTAGATGATCCCTAATGTCCCTTTTGTCTCTGACATTCTGTGATTTAAACCCACGTAGGCTCTTGTGTCTTTCAAATACTTTAGTTCTTTGAAAGATCTGTAATTTCATCTATGTGAGTCCTCCTTCCATGAATGCAGATTGTGGCTCCTTTAAACCTTAAATAAATGTTCTTTATGAATTCCTCTGGCCAAAAAAGTGTATCCACTGATGCCTAACTGTTTAATGTGACTATCAAGCCCACGGTCTGTGTCTATACAGAGGGCCTTCCCATCCTGTCAGAATCAGCCGGAGGTTTCTGGCCAGAGTGCCTTCTGGTTCCTGAATTGTCTTCACACTACAGGGAGAAGAGTAGCCTGTTACTAAATCTATGAACAGCTTTGCTCTTCATTATCCGTGTGACATCCAGCAAGCCTCTCTCCTTCCTTCTATCTGGAAAATGAGGGGATTGGGTTTGATCATTTGTGACATCCCTTCCGCCTCGCAATCGATCGACAGTCAGCTGTTCTGTGCCATCCGCTTTGCTTAGCATGGGCCATACCAGTACAGAGAACCATAGCGTCTCTACGTTCAATGAACTTTCATTCTGTTTGGAGGCGATTACAAGCATGTACATCTCTGAGCAGCTACAGGATAAACCTGAAGACAACAAATACCAAGTGGTTGTGGGCAGCACACTAGAAGCAGCCGAAGGCATAAGGACAGGCTTCATTCATGCAGAGAGGGTTGTCTGAGTGGCATCTTTGATCCCAGGAGGCCTCATGTAATGTAGTTAAAATAAAAAGAACTGCTGATTTTGGAGTTAGAGGACCTGGATTCAAATCCTGGCTCTAATAACAAGCAGGTTGACCCTGTTAAAGTCACGCTGACTGACCTTTCTGAGCCTTTGCAAACTTAAAAGTTCTTTAGATGTAGGCTATTTAACATTTAAAAAAATATTTAATTGTCTCTTTGTTTTTCTTACAGGGAAAATCTGAGTACAGTGGGACAAGGTATGTAGAGTTATATCCTGTTTTATTATCTTTTCAGTCTTTTTTTTACTGAATAAAACGAGCCAGAGTATTTTCTTTGAATAGTATAGATGGTATATTGCCTACAGTTAACGTGGAGGAAAGAAGCTGAACTATCACTCAGTTGAGGGTATTCCTGAATGTTGTCATTTCGGGATCCTTACATCTTGAAAACGTCTCTAGACCATCTGACCAGTTCCTTAAAGAGGAAACTGTCCTTGTATCTCTGTCTTCCTTTTCACCCCCCTGCAGCTACCCTACTTCAGGCCCTCATCCCTTCTTTCCTAGAGGACTGAGGTAGCCTCCTTACCGGTCTTTCTGCCTGTAATTGAGCTCCTTTCCAATCTATGTTCCACACTACTGCCCAAGTAATTTCCCTCACACACTGCTTTCATATGTTACCCTTCACCTCATAAACTTTCAATGGCTTCCCGTTGCCTACTGAATTAAGTGATCATGGTATTCAAGAGCCTCTGGGATGTGGCACTACCCTGCCTTTCCATCTTACCTTGTTCCATTTCCCTCCAGTAATTTGCCTGCTCCTTTTAAAGAAGGAGACACCCCCCGCCCCCCGCCCCGCAGACATCTCGTTTCTGACCTGGCTGCACCACGTGGGGGACTCTCTGACTAACTTCTCTTCATCATGCCCCAGGAAGCTCTCATCCTGAGAGATCCCTAGAGCCCTGATGCTCTACCTCATCACTGTTCTCTGCCCTTATGATTGGGGGGGGGGTGTCCATAAATCCCAAACCTCCATCGCAGGAGGGAGTCCAGGTCAGACGTCTCTTTTCTCATCCAGCTGCACAGTTTTAGGACGTCTCTGATTTCCCCACCATGTCCCCTTGTGGGATACCTTCCTTCTCCTCCCCTCTGCCCCACACCCTTTCAGCTTCCTTTTCTGTCTTCCCCCATTAGACGGTAAGCTTCTTAAGGTCGGAGACTCATTTTTTTTTTCATTTGTATTTCCAGCACTTAGCACGGTGCTTGGCACATAGTAGGTGTTTATAAGTGTTAATTGACTGACTACAGTCCAGCTAAACTATACTATTCTCCATCATCAGTTTTTTTTTTCAATTCAATTTAATAAACATTTTTCCTTCCCTCTCCCGTTTCTGTGCCTTTGCTTATGCTATGACCTATATGTGGACGTCTCTACCTCCAGCTCCTGTCTATTGAAGTCCTTTAAGGCACAGCAGAGGGACTGTATCCTCCATGTAGCCTTCGTTTACTTTCTTAGCTGAAATTGCCTTTTCTTCCTCAAAGTTCTTGTAGTGCTTTGTTTGTCTCTCTCCTTTGCCCTTACCTCACTCTCATGTGTATCACAGTTCTTAGAATGATAGGCTTAGGCCTGGAAGGGACATTAGAGGTCACAGAGTCCAAACTCATTTTATGGCTGAGGAAACTGAAGCCCAGAGAATTTAAGTGATGTGACCATGGTCGTGTAAGTAATAAGTATCTGAAGCAGGATTTGAATCCAGGTCTTCATGAATCCAGAGTCCAGTGTTCTATCTGCTATACCATGCTGCCTCTCTTAATTTGCATTTCTGTCTTTCTTCCGTACTAAATTGTAAACTCCTTGAGAGCAGGCCATGTGTCATATCTGTCCTTATATCCATGGTGCCTAGCCAAGTGCTTTACACAAAGTCCATAACGAATATTTGTTGAGTGAATGAGTGAGCTTCAAGGTTCTGACTCATTTGGCTGCTAATGTCATTTTAATCTATTGGGCGACCTCTTCCTCACCACTCATTCCTCCCAGATAAGTGTTCTTTTTGTTCTCTGTAGCACTGGGTCCCTCTATTGCCCTCATCATCCCTTCTTTGAATTTTGCTGAAGTTTATCTTAAGCAGCCCAAAGCAAAAGCATAGCAAAAGGTACCCAGATACCTGGGCAGTGCAGTAGCATAGTGGGTAGAGCAGTGGGCCTGGAGTCAAGAAGACCTGAGTTCAAATCTGACCTCAGACACCTACTAGCTGTGTTATCCTGGACAGGTCACTTAACTTTGTTTGTCTCAGTTTTCTCATCTGTAAAATGAGCTGGAGAAGGAAAGGGCAAACCATTCAAGTGTCTTTGCCAAGAAAACCCCAAAAGAGGTCACAGAGAGTCAGATACAACTGAAATGACTGAAAAACAACAACAAAACCAGGTATGAGAAGCCCCCCTGTGTCACCCAATTACCTATATCTGCACCAGAAGGGCTGTGGATCCATATTGTAGGGAGGATGAGGAGATTCAGAACACAAGGTAGAGTCAGCACCTTGTATGTGATGCGTTCTAACTAGGCTATGAGAAACAACCGAGTTGGGTGGCACTTGAGTCTGCCAGCACCAGAGAGCAGGGAGGTCATGTAATAGATTGTGCCAGCCTCTCTGCGTTGGGAAATAGAGGAGATACCGAGGATTAGAGGAGCAATATGGCTTCGGCAGCCAAGTGTCCAATCTGGGGCCATTGTTTTGATGAGTGGGGGCATTTGCAGGTTTCTTTGTCTGAGTTCTTGTGTTGCCTTGTTCCAGAATTGGAGTAATAGTAAGTGGAGATGAAAGCTGTGGTCAGATTGAATCTAGAATTTGATGTGTCCCAGCTGGGCTTGCTCCTGACTCTTCATCCCAAGTAAAGGGTGTCCACCCTGGTAGGCAGAGGGCACGTGACCTGGTCACATCTAAAGAGGAGAGGAATCAAGCAAAAGAGGCTGCATGGTGGAGCGGGGAGAAGCCTGGCCTGAGAGTCAGACAGGTCTGAGTCCAACCACATCCCCATTCTGCCATTGCATAGGATCACAGAAATGAAAGGAACCTTAAAATTTGTCTTGTCCAAACCCCTCATTTACCTGTGAGGTAGCTGAGGCCTAAAGAGACCTAAAGGGTCCAAGGCCACTTGCCCAAGGTCATAACAAGTAGTAAGAATTCAAACCCTATCCCTCAGACTCCACATCTAGTGTCCTCAGTTTCCCCATTTGTAAAATGCAGAGGATTGAACTAAATCATCTCTAATGTCACTTTAAATTTTAAAAGCCTATGAATTGAATGGTTACATTACTAGACCCAAAGAGTAGACTTTAAAGGCATAATGTCAACTTGCAGCAAGATCCCTCTAGTGGAATGCCCCAGGGATATGCCCTTGGTTCTGTTGTACTCAACATTTTTATCAGTGATATCAGTGAATCCATAAGATGATCATTTTACATTTTTATTTGACATGGAGCTGGCAAGGATATTTAGAGTACTAGGTGACAAAGTCAAGATACAAAAATATTTTGATAGGTTATAGAATGATGGGCCCGATCTAACAAAATGGAATTTAAGAGTAATGAAAAGAAAATCCTACACTTGGATTATGAAAATCAAATGTATAAGTACAAGTTTGGGGAATTCATGACTAAAGAATGATTTGTCTAAAAAAGGCCTGAGGGTTTTAAGTGCAGTCCAGACTGAATATGAATCAGCAGTGCAACAGAGCTCCCCTGAAAGCGCATGGACTCTTTACTTCTTGCAGGAAAATTTTAGAATTGTACCTGTACAGGTTTTGAGTGTGCCTTGGTAGAATGCCTAGACATTTTGTGTATTTTGTAATTATTTTAAATGAGACTTTTTATTATGTCCTTCTCTATTCTGTTATTGCTATACAGAAATGCTTTTAGTTTTCATGGATTTATTCTGTATCTTGCTACTTAACTGAAACTATTGATTATCTCAGTTTTTTTTCTGATTATCTAGGATTTTCTAAGTAAACCATCATGTCATCAGCAAATAGGGATAATTTTGTTATGCCTTTAATTTCTTTCTCTTCTCTTATGGCTACTGTTAGGATTTCTAGCACTGTACCAAATACCAATGGAGAATGGGGCATCCTTCCTTAATTCGTGTATTTATTGGGCAAGTTTTTGGTGTTTCCCTGTTGCATATAATGCTGCTAATGTGGTCTTGGGCAGCATTAAGAGATGCAGAATCCAAAACACAGAAAGTGGTTAGTTTCCCTGTATACTCTTACTTGGTCAGATTACATGTGGAACATTGTGATTCTGGTTACTTCATTTTAAGAAGATTATTGATAATGTTGAGAGTGGCCAGAAGAAAGCAACCAGGTTTTAAGCAGGCAGGAGACTAGGCCCTACAAGAATCATTTGAAGGAACTGAGGATGTTATTTTTAGAGAAAAGACCGGGAAGACACAATAGCTGACTTTTAGGGTTTGAAAGACTTTCTCTTGAAAGAGGGATTAGGTTTGTTCTGCTTAGAGGCCCAGGGAAATGATCAGCTTGCCCAAGGTCACACAAAAAGATGGATGGAGAGAGAGAGAGAGAGAGAGAGAGAGAGAGATTAATAGATGGATGGATGGAACATTTAGTGTTTACTACGTATTGGGCATGGTACAATCAAGATAGTCCCTAGCCTCAGGGAACTTACATTCTGACAGAAGAAGACAACATGTAAAAAGCATCTGGAAAGCAGTGAGGGGAGAGGACAGGTATCCACATCAAGCCAACGTATTTGCCAAGGAGGAGGAGGAGAAGTAGCCCAGGAAGGTAATCATCACAGAAGAGTGAAGCCTCAGGGTAGAGGTTTGACCAGGAAGGAGAAGCAGGTGATAAGGAGGAAAAGAGTCATAAGTAGTAAGAGGCAGAGGTAAGATTTGAATCCCAGATTCTTTGACTCCAAAGCCAGTGTTTTTTCCCATCTTCAAGCAAAGGCTATGTGGCTTACAGAAGGAATTTGTGGTCAGGTATAAGTTGAACTAGCAATCCTCTGAGATCTCTTCCAATGCTGAGATTCTGTGATTCTGAGCCTATAAACATTGGAGGAATTTTTTTTTTTTGCTTGCTTCTCAGAACACAGATGTGAATTAGCCTGTTATGAGCTTAAGGGAAATTGCAGATAATTCATTCATTCATTTACTTTTAGATTCATTCAGCAAACATTCCCAATACCTACTATGTATACAAAGTAGCCACTATCGGAAATAAAGATGAATGCCCATGTAGAACAT